GGGGTCTTCTCCGTGTGCAGGTGGAAAGGGGAAACGTTTCCTCTTCTCTGCGGTGGAGAGAAGTCCACACGCCGTTAAGCTTGTGGCTTGGATGCTGCTATTTCAACTTTTGTGGCAACGCACGATCTCAAGGTTTCCCTCACGGGTGTCCAGTGAGGGCAGTTAACCAGCAGCAAGTAGCAGCAAATCCTCATGAGGTGTTAAATATTTTTTTGCTTGCTCTTAATGCCATGACCCTTAGACAAGCTGGTTAGTCCTGAGGCTCCCTTCCCGTGGCAGTTCTCCCCCAACAGCCCCCAGGGCTCACAGTTCTGTTGCTTCAGCTTTTTTTTCCTTTGTAAACTCGCTGTTCCTGGGGGTTTTGCGGCAGGACCGGCCATCAGCCGGGGGTGAGAACGGTGCTGCCCTGTGCTAAACTTCAGCATAAACGTTGCTGCTCCATGTTTCAGGATGAAGGACTACCAGGAGCTGGCCCGTATGTTCCCGCTTTCGGAAAAGGAGTCAGGCTCCGGGTTCGAGGACGTGGCTGAAGCGGAGCAGGAGTCCGGTTCGGGGGCTGACTTTGGTGTCGATTACCCCAGCCTGAAGTTCCCTGACTTCTTGGTGGGCCAGCAAAAAAGCAAGCTGAAGCAGACGCTCACAGAGGAGGATTTAATTCTGTAGAGGAGAAAAGAAAACTTGGCCCTCATCGTAAAGATTGTGACTATTCTTGTCTTCCGCATGTCTTCTCTGGTGTACGACCGAATGTGATTACTCTCAGGACAAAAGAGTTTTATACGAGTTCCAAATCAATAAAAACTGCCTTACACTTTCTATTGCTTTTTCTCACTAGAAATCTGCATTCAATCAGAACTCACTCTTTGCTATTGAGGTGTAGGATAGCCACCTGATTATTTTTTTCAGGGGAAAATATAATTTTAAAGGATTTATCATAATCTTGTTTGTATAAATATTATGGCTGGCAAAAACAAAAACAAAACCACACACACCTAGTGATAATAAATTAAAAATATTTATTTAACGGGAATCAGCTGCACATCAGCACAACTCAGCTAATTATGTAAAATCCACCCAAACAGCTGCCTTTCATCCGACTTTCCTTTGATTATATCCTTAAAAAGCACAAAATGTTGTGAACTGTATTGGCATTATAGACGATATTTCTTGTTACAAATGTAAGAGTTGTTGTCGTGGCCAGTCTGCCTCGGTGTAGCCTGTACAATATTTTGGCTGTGTTACCCTAACGGAAGTTATGAAATTGTGTAAGGTGAGATCTATAACCCCCTTCTCCATTCTCTCCCTGGGACTTTTAATCTTAACAGTGGCCAACGAGCAAGTGCACTTACCTTCCAAATAGCTGAATGGATTTTCCCGTGATGTCTGTATCTACCCAGCTGTAATCCTATCAAAATCTAAATTAAACCATTTTTTTTCTTAAGCATTAGACCGAGCTCTCAAAGCTGTGTGTGGTGAGCCCCTTGAGACATGCAGCGTTTAAACGACAGCGCTTGCGGAAAGGGTTGCGATCTGACACAAGAGCATCCCCAAAGCCTGCTGATTTCCAGCAGGAAGCTCTTCCAGCTGATTTTCAAAGCAGTTTCCCTAGCAGAAAGGGATAAATGCTGTATTTGGAGGGACGAGCGCTGCATTTGGCAGCGCCAACAAAAACACCGCTCTGTGAAAGCCCACAGGGCGGGCACCACTGAGGGTTTCTGGTTGTCTCCAGTGACATCCGCTCTCTAAAATGTGGAAACCCCCCCCCCAAAAAACAAAACCAAAACCAAAACGCTTAACAAAGTCAATAGATGTAATCGTGTGCTGGCAGATGAGCTTTCTTGTAGGTGCTTTTCTAGCTCAGACCTAGGGTGCCAGCTGCAGCACTGAAAGCGATGGCTGCGGAGCAGGCAAGGGGGTGGTGAGCACCACCCAACATCGCCTCCTGACGGCCGAGCTGCAGACCGACAACGCCAAATATCACCCTTTCGGCTCCCTCCCCTTGCCCCCCCTTACCTAAAAGGCGGTGTCTGGGGATAAAAGTTTTCTCCGTGTCTTGGTCTGCGTACTGGGACATCAGTCCTGCCTGCTCAGGTCACTGCGCACAGGCGACGACCTGTTCGCCTAGAAAAAACAAGAAAAACAGTGATTTTTACTGATGGATGCTTTCAAAGTTCGACAGTTTTGACGCAAAGTTCTTGACAGATTTTTTTGTTTGTTTATTCTCCAGCATCAAAACATGCGTTTTGGTTTAACTCAAACGTGCTCCCATTTCACCTAAGACGGACATAAAACGAGCTTGACTTAAGCAGAACTAAGCGGGCCCGAACAGCTTTCTGGCAGTTCAACTCAAATCAGGATAAAACAGTATCTTTAGGCCACGAGCCGCACGATTGCTGAGGAAGGACGTACCGTCTACTGAAACCGCTTACCGCTGCGTTTCCCCCTCGGAAAGACACACGCAGCAAAACACCTCCCCCACCCCGAACGCAAACCGACGACTAATTAAAATCTAACGGCCGGCGGGGCGGTGCCCCGCC